CTGTTATTTTGCTCGGATTGCAATCTGCCTGGCCTTACAGTTGTTTGTCTTACCAGCTCCTGGAAATCCCTTGGAAGTGGGACTCAATAAGGAGGGTATACAGGCTGATGGTTAAAAGCAGGAGCTTTCGAATCAGAAACAACTCAATGTGGATTCTGTCACTCAATTTCCATATCTGGAAAGTGGACCATTAGGAATCTTAGATTTTTTATCTTTTGAGATAATATGGGAGAGCTTGCCCTATACTGAGGTCTCAAGGTTCAAATTTAGGGCTAAGTTACCTTACCTATTCATGTCTAAGTTTCTTTTCCTGTAAAATAAGGATGATAATAGAGCAATTATCTCATCATGAAAATTAAAGTATTTAACCTATGCAAATTATTTAGAACAATGTTTGGTGAGTAAATAAGCTCTCAATAAAATGTTCCTTATTTTTAATGTTATCACCCTGCAGAGTTGTGGTGAGAAAAACATTGCTTCCTGTTTGTAAGGAGGTAAGCGATGTTGGAACAAAACTATTGTTTAGTGGAATGCAAGTTTTCCTAAGGAAAGTATAAAGAATCAAGAACATGATAATAAATTTATAATAGACAACAAAATAGGGCCAGCCAAGGGCTTGTCTAATTCTTAGTAGTTGTTTCTCTTATCTCTTGAATATTTTCTAGCAGCTTGTATGAAGCAATATTTTTTTTATCAATACATTAAATATAAAAATATACCTTTGTGCTTGGTATTCCCTTTACCTGGCCCTGCATATCATGTAGAGGTGGAAAATACTGAAGAAGATGTACTAAAATCTTCCACTCTCCCTCTGGAGTTCTAAACAAGTCAGAGCTTTATGATCATTTATAGAACACAGACCCTCAGAAGTAGAAGTGTGGACATGGGAAAATCAGTAAGTTTGGCCTCCTAAGATTTTCTCTCTCCAAGAAACATATAAAACTATGACTGATTCATAAAGTATAAATGGACCTGACATATAGGTTAACAAAGGCACTAGACTAGCAAGCTATAAAAGCTGTGTCTGTAAATAGATGAGACTGTTTGGTGCTGCTTATCAACTCGGGCATATTCTTATACACATTTTCAAATTCTGAAGACAGAAAACTGATCACATGATTGACATGACTTTGTTTCTAACTGGACCTCTATAATAACAAAAGCTGCAGAGACAGGGGCTGCAGCAGCAGGGCCAAGGCAGAGGTGGCTACCATGGTGGCAGGGCCAAGCCCCTTGCACAAATTTCATACATCAGGGCCTCTAGTTTAGGGATAAAAGGGCTCTATATCCAAAATCCAAAATTACTACGCATAATCTAATATGCAATCCAGAGGAGAATAGAACACTTGGAATCAGTGTTTTCTTGGACAAAGCCTTAACAACCACAGAAGATAACCTCTCCTTACTAAAGCTACTCTAATATTTGAAGTAACCTACCTAAGGATATCTTGTCATTGACATGCTGTGATAAAATTGAATTTTAACCACTAAACGCATTAGCCTTATTGTTTTGAAATTATGACATATATGATGTCCATATAAAATATGAAACACATTCTTATAAGCTTTTTATTGACACTGGGATAAACTTAAATAATTCATAGAAATTTCTTTTATCTTATTGTCAATATTAGTCTTCTCTATACATTTTCAACATTAGATTCAAGTACCCAGATCTTAAGAAATGATCACTCTTCTTAAATGCCAGCTTTGTTGAAATGAAAACAATTTTATTAAGCCATAAACAAAATAAGCATTCTCCGGGGTTTTTAATTATTTCTCCCTTTGTGAACATAAAAATGGTTTCAATACACTCAAATGAAACAACGAAAGAAATGTGGAAGCAGATTTGCAGTTGTAAGAGTGAATTATTTAATTTAAAGGCAGCCAACCATGAGATATACAGTTGACAAAAGACATGAGATACTCATTTTTTCAGTACATGCTTATTTTGTGATAGCAAGATATTTTTAGTCAATTAGCTTGCTCAATTGACTGAGCATCTCCTACCTCATTTAGCTGAATAAAGACATAGCAGAGGAACTTCAGCAAGATATAGTGATTTTATAGTGGCATACCAACAAGGCAGAAACAAATCCTCCATAGAAAATTACTTATTCAAGGCAATAGACACCTAACAAAATAAGTGTAGCTGTTTTCTAAATGTAAAAACACAAAGCCATTGGAATTCCCAATTTATTTGAATACTTTCATAAAAACTCAAGAATCAAATATCAAAAATTTTTGAAAAATTAAGTGGAGCCGAAACCAGTTTGGCTCAGTGGATAGAGCGTCGGCCTGAGGACTGAAAGGTCCTGGGTTCGATTCTGGTCAAGAGCATGTACCTTGGTTGAGGGCACATCCCCAGTAGCGGGTGTGCAGGAGGAGCAGATCAATGATTCTCTTTCATTGATGTTTCTAACTCTCTATCCCTCTCTCTTTCTCTCTGTAAAAAATCAATAAAATATATATTTAAAAAAAAAGAAAGAAAAATTAAGTGGAAAAAGCTCCTACCTTGTTTATCCTATTTTTATAAAATATTTTATTTTTATTTTAAGACACTATGCTTTCTAATTAAATAAATATGTACATTCTTCAATAATGATAAAAATATTTAAGAATTTATTACTCTCATTATTCCTTATGAATGAAGTTAACTACAAGTGAAATGTTGACAATTTGTGGAATTAAGAAAACAAAGAAAAAAGTGATAAGAATATACGCTAAAACATATAGTATCCTTGAAAGAGTAGTTTAATTTTTTTTTTTTTTAAGAAATAAAAACATCAAGGATCTTAACATGCTAAGAGATGTAAAGATAAGTTTGGGGAATTTATCTTTCAAGATCAACAATTCAATCACCTGAAGACTCTAAATAACCTTCTTTTGTTTAATCATCAGGCATTTCTTGTCCTGTGATAAGATAAAATTATCTATTGTTAAGAAATCTAATGTACTTTTTAAATAAACATAAAAAAAATATTTGATTTGTTTTTAATGGAAGGTCAATCATGAATCATTTCCTGCAGCTTCTCCTCTTTCAGATCTATGATCTAAAGCCAGAAATTTAAGTGACAACAGCATTGCTACTGCACTTGACTGGTCTTTGAACAGGACAGATCACTTAAATTCAAATAGAAGACAGGTACTTGGCCCAGACATGCTGTCTCTTGAAAGTTGGCCAACAGGTTTATCAATCTTCCTCTACCCCAACAGCTTCTGCCTCCTTCAGATTACCCCTGTTCTCCAGGATGCAAATAAGAAGGCTTATATCTATGTTTTTAAATGCACCAAATAATTCAAACAAATTTTTATTTTTCAGAAGTCCTATCAAAAAATGTAAAATAATTATTTTTTTCATTAAAAATAAAATATGGCTAGATGAAGGCTCAAGTAGTGAGAGTTACTATCAGTGAGTCAAGAGGTGCTATGCTTATTTTGCTCCTCAGCACCCTTTCTGAAAATGAATTGGTTCTATATCTGAAAACTCTAGGGGGGGGGGGGGGGGCGGGAATGTATAACTTTGTTGATATTACCACAGATGTTTCTTGAATTTTCACATCTCTGTTTCTCAACATTTGAGAAAGAAAAATCCTAGAATCCTTAACCTACAGCACCTTTTAGCTACATATGTAATAAAAATGAAATGTTAAAAAATAAATTACACCAAAATCAGGAATACTGATAACAATAAATTCAGGTGAAGCTATGGAACAACAGGAACTATTACACATCACTGGGAATGCAAAATGGTACATCCATTTTGGAAGAGAGTTTGACAATTTCTTACAAAACTTAAATATGTTCTTACCATTTGATCCATTAATTGAACTCCTTGGCATTTGCATAAAGAAGTTGAAAGTTATGTGTATACAGAAACTTGCACAAGATATTTACAGAACTTTTATTCATAGCTGCCAAAACTGGGAAGAAACCAAGATGTCCTTCAGTAGGCAAATGGATAAACTGTGGTACCTCCAGAAAATAGACTATTATTCAGTGCAAAAAAGGAATGAGCTACCAAGCCATGAGAAGATGTAGAGAAAACTTAACAGCAATATAATTAAGAGAAAAAAGGCAATCTGAAAGAGCTATATACTTTATGATTCCAACTATCTGACCTTCTGAAAAGGCAAAACTATGAAGACAATAAAAAGATTAGTTGTTGCCAGGATTTAGGAGAGGGACGGATGAATAGGTAGAGCACAGAGGATTCTTAGGGCAGTGAAAATACTCTATATAATACTATAATAATGGAAACCCATAGAATGTGCAATGCCAAAATAGAATCCTAATGCAACCTACGGACTTTGGGTAATGATGATATGTCATGGTAGGTGCATCAACCATAACAAATGTACCACTCTGGCAAGGGATGTTAAAAATGAGGGAGGCTATGAATTTGTGGAGGTGGGAGTACATGAGAAATCCTTACACCTTTTATTAAATTTTGCAGTGAACCTAAAATCACTCTAAAAATTAAGCCTATTAAAAGGCAAACAAACTATTAAAACAAAAAATTATAAATAGTTATTTTCTCAAAAAATTATACCACAAAATAAAACATCATCCCATTTTCAAGGTGGAATAATGAGGAGGTAGTTTTGGTGAGTGAGACTGAAAGGAGCATAAAGGAAAATATAGAAAAACTCTACATTAGGTAGGCCAAAGGAGTAAATAAGTAGACATACCAATTTCCAGACATACAAAATCCAGTCACTGCATGAGAGTGAGTTCTGGGCATCATATTTGTGGATGCCAGACTTGGTTGAAAGGCCCAGCTTTGTCATCACTAATCTCTATGTCCTTGGGGTAGTGAAGTGACCTAGTCCTCAGCTCAGATTCTTTGTGTAAAAATAGGGAAACTAGCATTTACCTTTTAGAACATTGTTCATAAAAGATTATAAAATGTATAAGGATATAAGCAATGTACCTACAACTTTCAAACTTTATATACAAATTATTATATTTATTGATATAAATCACATGAAGTTTCTTACCAAGGATGAATTCCAACTGTGGTTCATTTGGCGTCTTCTGAATACCTATAAATAATAGGTAAGAATTCAGATTAAAGATATTTAAGTCATTATCAACATTATCAAAAATATGTCATTTAATATTACTATGTTTCACCATGCCTGGAATATATTAAAATATTAGTTGTCAGAATAAATAAAGTCAGTTGATTAGATTTATAAGCAGTGGGTTCTCAGGGGAAGACATAATATTTGAAACAGAACTAGATATAATTAAAAATTTGAGCTATTTAGCTCCATAGCCATAAAGAATCTCAAATTTTTTAAGGTGCTACAAATATGAAACGTTTTCCACTGTGTCTGTTTCTTTAAAATGCATGGAGACAGATTGGAACTTTCAAAAAAGGACAACCTCTCCAAGGCACTCTTCCATATAGAATTTTCTTTCAAACCACTCCAACCTGCTATACACAGTGAATTACTAATTAAAAGGATATCTCTACTTAGGTTATGAAGGATATTATGCTGGTGGTTATTCTGCCAGCTTACTGATAGCTCAAATCAACATTCCATTAAATGCCTCTATTTCTCTTGCTGGAGTTTTTTACAAAACCTAATAACATGGCTCAATGATTTAAGACGCAGTAGAAGAGAAAGTAAGTCTGAGAAGAAAGTTAAGGAAACGGGAACATCTAATGATTAAAGGTGGGAAGACCAGGCTGTGATGAGTGAGAATGGCAGGCAGATACCTGAAGACCACACACAGCACAGCGGCTCCCTAAACAAGAGTGGATGAGGCCTGGGATGCCATTTGTTAGCTCTCATGGTGGCCAAAGAGGCAAAACTAAGCTATGGACAAGTAAACCATTTGGCAGTAATGTAAGAATATTATACAAATCCTTTTCTTCTTTATTTTTACTGGTGGATTCATCAAACACTATTTAAATTTAATAGCTTCTGGTCACTAATATGCTATTAGAACCACCTCTCCATATAAAAATCATCCATTTGGTTATTTATAGAGTTCACAGGTTTTGCATGGTAACCATTTTATTTTTCTTCCCTCTTTCATTTAACAATGCTATGGTTAACAATTTTAGACTTTCCAAGAGAGGCTAAAGTGACAATCATTAGGTAGGCCTTTGTGCATTTTGAATAGTGTATATTTTTTTAAAAGGTTATTAACAATTAAATCTGCTATAAGCTCTGACAACCCAATTTCTCAAAAAATGCAGCCAACCAATACCATTTTCTAAGGATTATTTTTATAATGTAAATTAAGTGAGAGGTTAGGCATATGTTTGCCAGTGTCAATAACTGGGCAATAAGAACCATCTGAAAAGAAAAGAAAGAAAGGACACAATTCATGCTAAACAATAAAACCTGAACCCTAGAATTTTGAACATGGGAGAAAAACATATAGGTCTTCCAACGATTTTAATTATGGGAGTAGCACAAATCCTGATTGTAATGTTCAGATGTAAATCTTGCCCCAGTCTCCAAGCTTGCTCTCTCTTTGGGACTTTGTGCTCTCATATAGGTCAATGACAGCCGTGCAACCATTTCACCCTAAAGCTTTCCACTTAGTCCTTGGTGTTAAAGAGAAAATGTCTATGTTCTGAAAAATGATTCCACATGAGATTATACAAATGATGAATAGAAGGGGTACTTAAGACGTATTAGTTAGTGTCTTAATGCACATTCAGCAACTTTGATTCTACCATTTGATATTTAACAGTTTCATGGACTCTCATCAATCTCATATATGATGATAAAAGGCAAGAAGCATTTCATAGAATCACAACAACAAAAGAAGCAGTGCAAAGGGAAAACATTTTGTTAACCTTAGGCCACTTGTTAGAACCCCAGTTTCTGTGTGGTTGGTCAACCCAATGCGCATTGTCAGAGAGTTCCAAGAAGGAGCACGCACATACTTACTTGTCAGGTGGAAGTCCCCACTCTCATTTGCCTGGGGTGTGGGAAGGAAGTGCTGGCCTTCTTCTGACGTGCCTTCCTCTTTGATTTCCATGATCACCTTCACAGTTGCTTATTTTTTTTAGTTTTCCAATGTTTCGTGTCCAAATGTCACTACCAATGTTTCCTGGTTTAGTACCGACGTATCTTCACACTAAAGACCTAATATCCCACTTTAAAATTCTGCATTGAGGAAACATCAACAGCAAAAATGTCAGTTACTCTAGAGTTCAATCTAAAGCTAAGAATTAAAGGTGAGTAGAGACTATAACTACCTGCCTGCCTATACCACTTTTATATTCAAAACCAATCCGCCCGGTTAATATACTGAGAACTCTGGGTTAAATGGCATTTTCCCTGCAATTATTTTATGGTCATATGAGGGAGTTCTAAATCCTGAAAGGTATATTTGTTCTCTTTTAGTTTATTTTGCAAAATAGCAGATAGCTACAGGGGATGCTAACTTAAATGCACCTAATTTACCAGCAAGGACAGATAGCATCTTGTCGAGGCGTTAAAATGTTTTGCCAAGATGAATATTACTTTCATTCTTTCCATTAGAAATGCCCTTTATACTCATCTCTCTAACCATCCTTGTTAGAACATTATTCATGAACACATAAAGATAATTTGGCATGACATTCTTCTTCCAAGATGAGCCAACAGGTTGTGCAGGGGAGTTTCCAACTCATCATTATCCACAGAGTCTGTTGCTGCTCTGCCTGATAAAGGTGTAATTGTTTAATGATCGAGGTAGAGGTTGAACAGAATGAATAATAATCCTTAAAAGCTAAAGCTCAAGGGGAAATGAAAGCAATAGCAAAGTGATGAAAATTAGCATGGGTAAAGGAACCTTTCCAAAAACGTACTACCCTGTTAATACAGCCAGCCACCACGTTTCAAATTCATTTTGATATCTAGCATCATATCCATGACCAAGAATTAAATAGGAAAAAAAATCAATGTAGTTAAATCAAGTGACCAGCTGAATTAAAATGTATACAATCTTTAAATGTCTACCCAATGCTGCTTAATGAGATTGCAGCAATAGGGTTTGGGTTTGGAATACTGATTTACTCTCCAACTACACAAATCCACAGCCTTACTCTTTGTTGTTCTTAACAAAGCAACTTAATTTATAATTCAGCTCTAGTTTTTAAGATCATCTGGCAAAAATTAAATCCAGAAAGCATCTGGAATCTTTAGAAAAATAATACAATAAAGTTGCAGATAAATACATAGTGGCTTCTAAAGATATAACTAGAAATACTTGCTGGGGCAAAGGGCCATTGCACCATATTCTGTCAATTTGAAAATTGTATTTTGAATTAATACAATGCTTTCTAATTTATTTTACTATTTAAGTTTAATAGTCTTTCTGGAAAGGGCATGTAGTCACTGAACCACATTCTCTCCAGAACCTATGACAAATGCATGAGCATTAGTGGGGGTGATATCTGTGGAAGACTACTATGTATAGCACTTAGATACAGGAATTGGTTGACTTTACTATATTTCTTGACCAAAGATTCAACCCTCAATTCTAATCAGTCACCGTAAAAATTGAAGAGGAGACCTTAATAAGGTAACACAAATGAATCCTAACAAAATCCCAACTCTGCACACTAATGGTGAATAATAAGATAATGTAAACTCTATGTGTGGGAGTGGGTAATTTGGAGGTAAGTGTAGAGGATTAAAGTAAGATGCCTAAAAGGACTTAATATGGTACGGTTTTAAGTGTAATATAACCCATTCAAAGCTATTCACTACCTGAAAAATAACTTCAATTTTAGAGAGAATAGAGCCACACATACAAAACTGAAAGAAGAAATCAAATCCACAATGATATACATTTTCTCTCAGTAATGGAGAAGAAAGTAGACAGAAAAACAATTGAGGATATAGAAGATTGAACAATACTGCCAACAACTTGGTCTAATCGACATTTTAACACAATTCATCCCACAACAATAAAATACTGATTTTTTTTCAAAATATACATGAAAAATTCATTAAGATTATATGTTGACTCTAAAATAAACCTTAACAAATTTAAAAAAACTAAAATAAAAACAAGCATATTTTCTGACCATAATAAAATTAAACCAGAAATCAAAAAAAAAAAACATCTGGAAAATCCCCAAATATTTAAAAATTAAACAATACAGTTCTAAATAATTTTACATATTCAGAGATTATTCATAGGATATATACATATATGCACATATTTGAATCAGAATGAAATCATTGCCCTACATATTAAAAGATATCTGGAGGAAATTTTATATTAATGCTTATATTAGAAAAGATCTCAAATCAATGCTCTAAACTTTCACCATATAACTAGAAAAAGGGAAAATTAAACCTAAACAAGCAGAAAAAGAAAATGTGTGTGATAAGCATAACTGATAAAGATTTAGTCTCCAGAATATATTAAAAATGTTAGCAAAACAATCCAATGGAAAAAAGCCTATCAAAATATATAAACAGATACTTCAAAAATATCAAACACAGATTGCCAATAAACAATTTAAGAGAGCCTCAACTTCACTAGTTATCATGGAAATGCAAATTAAAACCAAATGAAATGTGATACAACATCAATAAGTAAAAATTTTGAAGTCTCAAATATTGATGAGGATCTAGAGCAATATAAACTTTTATGTGCTGTGGTGTTCCGACCACAATGGTAAATAATTTTGTAATATCAAGTAAAGTTGAACAGCAATTCCACTTTTAAGGTATATTCTAGGGAAATTCTTGCAAACACATACCAAAACATAGAAGGAGGTTCACAGCAAATCAACTTCTAATAATAAAATATTGAAAATAGGCTAAATACTCAGCAATAAGCAAGTAGATAAATATATTGCTGTATATTCATTCTATATAAAATGAATTGTCATCTCACATAACAACATTGATTAACTTCACAAACCAAGCATAGAGAAAAAGAGGAGAAAGAGTGAGGAGGAGCTGAAGGATGGGGTTGGGTGGGTATATGATGGTACTTATAGAAAGCTTTGAAACATATAACATAATACTCTAATTTTATGTAGGGTTTCAATTACAGAGAAATGCATGATAAGTAGTGAAATCAGAAGAGTCATGTCTGGGAGGAGGGTTTCGGGAGATGTGATCAGGGAGGGGAACACAGGAGCCTTAAAACCAGGGCTATGACTCACATGGGGATTCACCTCTGTCTTCACTGCTCATTTTCCCTCCTGGGAAACGTCAGCATACTTGGGAGGCTATAACCGCCATAGAATAATTATATTCAAAGTTTTGCAACTAAGCCTATTCTCAGGAACAGGGACCTACCCTTATTTTATATCATTCAAAAACAACGGCAAAATAAAAACAAAGGTTTTGGGAAAAGGTTCCCTTTGAGAAAAATGGACATAAATTGACAAATTTGATATTTTATCTGAAAACAACAACAACAATTGGCCATTTTTTAGAGGTCAAGGCCCTCCTGGCTTCTTGTGAGGCCAGACAGAGGGTAGCTCCCTTCAGAGGAATGGATTAGCATTCAAGAGCAACATTTCTGCCCAGGAAAACCAATTGCATCAGAGACAATTGAATTGTCCAGGCCTTCAGTATGGTTTTGCTACCAATATTAAATTCAGTGAGGATCTGCTTTGTCACAGAAGAAAAAAGATGAGAGTCGCCAGGGCTCCAATTTTATCAAAAGTCCAGCTACTGGGGCTCAGTTCTGAACCAGCTGGCAATGTTGTTCTCAGCTTTTCCTGAGGAAGCATCCCTGACATGAAACAGAACAGAAGACCCGTGGATTTAGCAAGACCAATCAGCAACAGTCTTTTAAGGCTTTGCCACTTAAAATATGGTCCCTGGGCCTGTAGTGTCTGCATTCTCTGGAATCATGTTAGAAATGCAGACCGTTGGGCCAGACCCAGATCCGCAGAATTGGAATCTGCATTGTAGCATAGGTAATTCCTGTGCACATTCAAGCTTGAGAGGCACAACTTTGAGGCATAGAGGACCACCAAATTCCAGATTTGTAAACTAGGAGAGGAGAAGAGGGAGTTCCAGCAGATTGAATTAAAAAAAAAAAAAAAAAAAAAAAAAAAGTCAACATGGACTAAGGGCCATGTCACTTAGCCAGACTTTCTAGATGGATGGCAGGGGCTTTCAGATCCTGGCCTGGACTTGTTTCCCCAACCACTGACTCACTTCCAACCTCCACCGCTCCTTTCTTCCCAGGATCTCCTAATCTCTGTATCTGCCTAGGATCCCTGAGACCTACCTATTATCTCGCTACCCAGCCTCTTGGTGATGGACTCTTGCCAGTGACCAGTCTTAACCTGGCCTAGATTCCATCCCCACTCTTACTTCATTTTTTTTTTTTTTTTTTTTTTTCTTTTTTTTTTCTCTCTCCAGCCTCAGCTCTGCTGCCTGACTCTTGGCAGTCTACTTAGCTCTTGGCAGGTTAGACCCAGTTACCTCCGGGGCTAAACAGAGCCCAGTCATGGCATGCTACACTTTGAAAAGTGTGGGAGCTTGGCAAGGACACTTGTATGGCAGCTTACAATGAGAACTGGTGATTTAATGTCCATCCATGCAGGAGCATCATCCAGAAATTTGGGGAAAATGTCTGGACTGTGGGTTTTAGGGCACAAAGCAGTTCAAACTACTGTGACACAATGAAATAGGGAGAAGGGGATGGGATGAAGACAAGAAAAACAATTCAATAAAATATAATTGACAGCACCATTCACTTCCCTTTACTCCCTACAAACACCAACTCAAAGGGGCTCTACTGATACCCATCCAGTCTCCACAAAGTTCTCTCCACCACCATTTCTGAAATTCATCTTAGCCAAAGTTAATAAGGACTTATATGCCTTTCTGAGTGCACATTGTGTGCCATTCTCTTTGTCATCACTCTAGATGCATTAAATTAATATTCATAACAAATTTAAGATATTAACTCCAGCCTTACCAATGAAAAACTGAAGGTTAAGAAGTAATTTGTTTCAGGACTTATGTGTAATTACAGAACCATGGATGTGAACTTGTCTGATTTCAGAGCATTCTCTGTCCTTTTTACCATGTCATTTAATTTTGCCCTACCAAAATTTATAAACTTTTATTATCCCTTAATAAATAAATTAGGGCAATGGTCAGAGAGAAAGAAGGGAGGTCTAGGAGACATTTAT